ATCTCAGACACATGCACTTTCAGGTTATTTCACATTACTTGATAGAAACAAGTCTTCGTTTTAGCTAACAACACTTGACATCTAAGATGCTTGGATATTTCTCTCTTTCTTTCTGGATCTTACTTTGATATTACTTTTAAAAATTACTCAACATAAATATATGCTTAATTCTGTTTTTTTAATTGACTGAAATAAATAACTTTTTTGAGTTGTGGGGTCTTTCAATATTGCCCAGGCTGACTCCAAACTCCTGGGCTCAAGAGCTCCTTCTGTTTCAGCCTCCACAATAACTGGAACTATAGGTGCCATTGCCCCCATTTAAAGAATGGTCTCAGGCTGAGGGTATAGCTCAGTCAGTCAGTAGAGTGCTTGCCGCTCTTACAGAAGACCCTGGGTTCAGTCCCCAGCACCACACACACACAAAAAAAAGAATGGTCTCTGCAGGTCACGGTGGCACATGCCTGTAATCCCAGAGGCTTGGGAGGCTGAGGCATGAGGATAGCGAGCTCAAAGCCAGTCTCAGCAACTGTGAGGCAGCAAGCAACTCAGTGAGATCCTGTCTCTAAATCAAGTACAAAGTAGGGCTGGGGATGGGTTTCAGTGGCCAAGTGCACCTGCATTCAATCCCTGTACCCTCCCCCCCAAAAAAGAATGGTTTCAAGATTAACAGGTAGGAAAGTGAGAATCAAGCAAAGCTTGTTACTTGATGGGTAGAATCTTATGGTCTGGGAATATAAGTGGAAATGGATCTCCTTATACAATATCACTGAGACTTCCACTAGGTAACAGAGCATCTCAAAATGACAACATGTATATAGGATTCCGTTCTAGAATTGTCTAAACATACTTATTAACACTATTCTGAAGTGTCACTCTTAACTCTTTCAAAACTAGATTGCTTAAGGAAAGGGATAGTTTAGTATATTACATCATATAATATTAAATATATTTTTAATATTTATTTAATATTCTTAAAGGTGAATGTGAAGTCCTCTTATAAATATGATTCTTGTCCCTATATTGTCTCTGAATAAAAGGGCAATTGGTTTGTCTTTAGATGAAGTTGTTTTCATGTTTTTCATCTTCACTCCTTATAGTTTCTTCTTCATGATAATGTATCTGTTTATAGCTTGCAGACTATATCTGATGCATTTTTAATCTTTAGTGGGGCATGGCAAACGCACAGGTAATTAGAAATTCCAAAAGAGCATTTTTTTTTTCACCCCAGCAAGGTACTGTCCTTGCTTTTTACTCTTTGTTTTCTTTGGAAAACAAATACCACTTCTGGCTTCTCTTAGCCATCTCCCTCCACTGTGTTCTGTTCTGTGTCATTAGCAACAGGCAGCTGGGTAAATGTTGGCCCACATCCAAGAGGATGATTGCTTTTCATAGGCACTGGCTTTGCTGTTGGCTCTCTGACTAATGGCTTCTGTTTTTAATGGCTGAAATTTAGTATGATTAACTCTCCGGTGATTAATAGATGGTGTTTCTGAGAGCTAAATAATAAAGAAGCAATTAAACAAACCTGATATGTTGTCTTTACCACAAATCAAATAACACTTTTTCTTCCCTTTTCTTGCACTGTGGTTTGGAGGTCAGAAAGCTATTCTGACAGGAACAGGAGCCCTAGACAATGGCTCTGGAGGAAGGGAGGACAGGCAACACAGCAGGACACTCTTGTCCTTTGTTCTCACTGAGGTTTGTATTTTATGGTGTCCCATTTGGAAAATAGAAGTCTTTGAAATCATGAGCCCTGGACTCTTTATCTCTAAAATAGGAGTAATACATAATTTGTGTGGTTAAGTGACAATTAGATGGCACAGCATACATAAAGCATCTTGCCCAAGGCCGAGTGTTCCCCCCAAACATACTGTTTCCAGCCCCCTTCCTTTGTCCAACCCTAACACTCCATATTCTTCTGGGTGTCAATGATATTTGGAGAGAGAGTGGGGATCCTAAGAAACTCTCCTTTGCTTTTTAGCACTCCAGGGAAGAAACAAAAATTGTTTCTCCCTCCCCAAGATAAAAATAATTGTCATTTGTAACATGACCACTATTGTAAGTCATCATTATTTTTTTAAAAAGAGTTTAAGCCATGAATTGGCATATTTTTGACCTTCTTTATCAATCTCCACATCAATTGATGTTAGTTGTGCAGAATTTCATGATCTCACCAGAAAGAATAACACCCAAACAAGTAGAAAGAAATGAACAATATAGACAAGTGATCTATTTTGTACTTTAAACATTTAAAATAACAAAATTTTTTTTTCATGGCAGAATAGGAAGTTTTTTTTTTTTTTTTTTTTTTTTTTTTGGAACAAATAAGACTAGATCTATTTATTAGTCATTTGCTTGGGTATAACTCAGTGACAATACCAAAATCTCAAGATTAACAAGGATTAATTTCTTGTTCACATAATTTTGCAGCTTAAAGCATTTCCCAATTTAACTTTTATAAGTTGGGGATGAGAAATAAGCCCAATTATCAGCATTTATCTGCAACTTTTCTCTTGTTTGATGTATAATTTTCATATCAAAAAATTGATAGCTATAAATGTTCATATTAATGAGTTTTTAATAATAGCATATGTCCATGTTATTACCACCTAAAACAATATTCTAAAATTATCTAGAATATGTTCCATCATCTCCAAGCCTTTCATTTGTCTCCTTCATCTCTGCCATGACAATTTCTTCCACAATTGGTTAGTTTTGCTTTATCTGTAAATCAATTTAAATAGGATTATGCATTGTGAGGTCTTACGTATCTGATGGAATCCATCCAGCATAATCTGTTTCTTTTACAGCTGTATTTTATGTGTATCAGTTGCTAAAAACTTTTTGTTGCTGGGCAGTTTTCCATTGAATGAATATACAATCCCACAACGTATGTGCTCATTCTCCTGTTGACCAACACTTTGCTCCTGATTTGGACTCCGAGAATAAAGCCACTATTCAATTTGTAAGGGTTTGGGGAATGTATATTTTTATTTCTCTTGAGAAAATGCCGAAGAATGGAAAGGTTTCACTTTCTAATTATCTCTAAGTTGTCTTTTCATTATCTCAACAGTCTTTTACAGAGGGGAAGTTTTTAATCTTGATGAATTCCAATTTATCTTTTGTTTATTTATTTTTTAATGGATTGGGCTTTTGATATCATGTCCAAGAGATTTTTTGCCTAACTAGTGTTTTCTTCTTCTAGTGGATATTTTCCTTTTTCCTTTTACATTTAGATGCATGATTACTTCAATTTATTTTTTTTTTGTATATGATACGAGGAATGCTTCAGAATTTTGTGTTCTTGTCTTTTTGCTTTTGTTTTACCTTTGCATGTAGACACAGCACTATTCATTCATTCAGCACCTTTGTTGAATATTTTATTAGGTACATAAACATTGTAAACCACTAGGCTTTTCTGACATATTTACACTTTCTTTATAAAATGACCTGTATTTCATTGTTCTGAAGTCTACTTTTTCTGATGCTAATATTGACAATCTAGGTTTTTCTTATTATTATTTTTTTAATAGCAGGGATCAAACCCTGAGGTGCTTAAGTACTGAGCCACAACCCCACACCTTTTTTCTTTCTCTCTCTCTTTCTTTCTCTCTTTCTTTCTTTCTTTCTTTCTTTCTTTCTTTCTTTCTTTCTTTCTTTCTTTCTTCTTTCTTTCTATCTTTCTTTTTTTCTTTCTTTCTTTTTTTCTTTCTTTCTTATTTCCTTCTTTCTTTTTCTTTTTCTTTTCTTTTTTGAGTCAGGGTAGGGCCTTGCTAGGTTTCTGAGGCTGGCTTTGAACTTGCGATTCTGACTCAGTCTCCCAGTGGCACTGGGATTACAGGTGTGCACATGGCACCCCACTGCCCATCTAGTTTCTTTTGGCTAGTGAGAAAAAAATGAGTCAGAACTCTTTTCCTTTTATGCCTATTTGTGTATTTGTAATTAAAATGAGCTTTTTCCCCTCTTCTAGGCTGCTGAATTGGTTTCTTAGGCTTTGCCACAACAAATTACCACAAACGAGTTGCTCAAAGAACAGAAATGTATTCTTTCACACTTCTGGAGGGCAGAAGTCTGAGATTATACCGTTGCTGAGGTCAAGCTCTCTCTGGGGTTTCTACAGAAGAATCTTTTCTTGCCTCTTTGCTGCTGTATGTGGTTGGCAATCTGTTATTTCTTGGTGGGCAGCTGTATTGTTCTCATTTTTGTCTCTGCTTTCACATGCCCATATTTTCTTCTGTGTGACTCTGCTCACATGGCCTTCACAGAAACTTTTGAAAATAAAAACTTTTTAAAATTATTTCCTTTTATTTATACATAACATTAGGACTCATTCTGACTTATTTTTTAAAAATCATGGAATATAATTTTTTCGAATTCAGTCCCTAGTATTTCCCCTTTCCCTCCCCTCCTCCTTCTTTCTGTTCCCTTCCCTGTACTCGACTGACCTTTGTGCTTTCTGCTTTATATTTTTTCTTTTTGGTTAGTGTCTTGTGGGTATATCTGATGGTGAGATTCACTACGGTATATTCACATATGTCCATAGGAAAGTCTTAGTTTCTAATTCATCTGAATACATTAAGGTGAGAGGCTGGTTTGGCTCAATCTGAGATAAAATTCCTCTCTGTGTGGGCACCTATGAAACTAGAGAAATAATGACGTGTTTTGAAAATAGAATGCTGGTCAGTTATGGGATAGACATTTCCATTCAAAAAGGGAGAGCGAGGAAGTAACGAAAGATTCACTGATTCAAAGAAATTTCAAAATCCTACATAACAAGCATTAGGTTTTAAAACCTGAATGCAGTCCTCCATAGCTCACTCTACCTTTGGGTCTGAAGAAGTTCATTCAGTTCCAGTATCTGGGACAGTGGGAACCTTAGCAGCCTCTCTGTCCTCTGAGCCACTTTTGGCACATTCTTGAAGGATGTGCACATTCCATGACTGTTAGGATGGCCTTAGGCCTGAACCTAAGCAGCTCCATTTTAAAACGCTCCAGTTTGAAACCTGCAGTCTCACTAGGCACAGCCACAGATCCCTCCAGTGTGGCCTCAAACAAGTCACTTCCCTTCACCCTGATAAACAGAGTGAAGCCCTGGCAGGCTGTTCCTCACCTGGTAAGAGGGAAAGGAGAGAAGATCAGGGTGGAGACCACCAGACCAGAGGTTTCTGACCCCAGGGTAAGTGATGTCACTGAGAAATTTGGTGGTAGCTGATAAGGATTGAAAAGGGGGTCAATCCCCCCCAAATTTATTATAAATGATAGAGCAAATAAACAGGGATTCAGGCAGCCAAAACAAGGATGAGCTGGAGCTGGAGAGCCTGATGAGGACCTGACATCCCGTCACTTGTCCTCATTCCTGAGCCTCTGCCTGATCCCCACCACTCTCAAACTCTACCGCCTTGTCTGGACCTTGCTGAGAGCTGCAACTTCTCCCTACACAACTGCTCATCCACTCCACGCCAGGAAAAGCCTGCCTTGGTTCCAGACCTGGTCACCGTGGTCTGAGTGAGTGTGCATCTGCTGGACTTAAAGCCTAAGGCTTGATTGAGACTTTTGAACTTAGCGAGCAGAGGGAATGCCTGTCATTAGCCTATCATGATAAAGTGTGTTTTCAGTGCTTAGAATAAATCTAGAATTGTTTGCTGTGAATTGATTATGTCTATTGCAGTGCCTAGCATTAAGGATTGTCGTTTTCTTTATTAAGAACCTATAGAGTGAAATTGTATTGAGTAATTTGAGTGAATAAAGCACTGAAAGGGGCAGAAGTGCGTGGACATTCTTTATTTCTCCCCTCAACTGTAGATGTCACAATTTTGCTCCTTCGAGACAATGACCCAACCAGGTTCATCAGCCTGTGTCCTGCCTGCAGAATCCCTCAAGTCTGACAGACTCTACTCTGTGTCTTCTATCTCTATCCCTTCAGTCTAAGCTGGTGTTGCTTCTTGTGCTCTAACACACAATAGCAAAAGCAATCCTAAAGTCATACGGTCCTTAGTTGGGTGGCTTTATATTAGTGACTCAATTTCTTTGCTTGCTTTAGTTCTGTTGATAGTACCTATTACATCTCGAGTCCCTTTAGCAACTTGTATTTTTCTAAGATTTTTTTCTATTTCCTCTTGTTTGTCTAATTTGTTGACATACAATTTTTTATAGTATTCCCTCATAATTCATTTTCTTTCTGTAAGGTCAAAAGTAATGCCTCCACCTTTCATTTCTAATTTAAATTATTTCAGTCTCTTCTCCCCTTTTTTTTTTTGAAGTATAACTAAAGATATATATATATATATATATCCCCTTCCCTCCCTCCCTCCCTCCCTCTCTTCCTTCAGCTACACCATCAGCCATATCAATTTTCTTTATCCTTTTAAGAAACAACTTTTAATTTTGCTGATTCTTTTTAAAAGGAAAACCAAACAAGCAATCAACCAAACAAGAACCAAACAAACAAAACAAGAGAGAGAGAGAGAGAGAGAGAGAGAGAGAGAGAGAGAGAGAAACCAACAAACAAAATACCCAAATACCTTTGCTGATCTTTGTCCATTGGTTCCATGTCTACAGCCTCCCTCGATGCTCAGCCAGGTCCCACTGAGCCAAGGTGACAATGAAAGAGGACATCTTGGCATCCTCTCAAGACATTTCTGAGTACATGTCATTGGGGCATACTTGCTTTCTTTCTAAAATCTCCAGCTGACATGATATCTTGGGAATGGTTGGTTTGCAGTGTCTTCCAGCTCAACTGGCTGCTTTTCAACGTGAACTCTCAGTCAGGAGAGACAGAGAGGAACATCTTGTGCTAGTCTTTCAGGTAGCTCTAGACAGAGTAGAATTCACAGCACGATAGTTGCAAATAAGATTTTGTCCCTCTTACTCTGGAACCATGGCCAAGGGTCCCGTTCTGGGAACACAGGCCACAGCTACTCTAATAGCCAGTCTGCTGAAAGGCAGTCTGGGTGGCACAAACTTTCCTACCACTCTGAAGTACCTTTTTCTTTTCAACATGTGTTTAGTTACTACACTATTTTTTTTTTTCTTGCTTGTTTCTTAATGTTTTGTTAAGGAGCCAAAAGGTTGGAGTTGCCTAGTCCACCATTTTGCATAGATTAGAAAGTTCTTGATTATTATCTTTCAAATACTTCTTTTGCCTCACTTGCTCTTTCCTCTCCCTTTGAAACACTTATTATAGATAGTCCTTGATTTACGATGGCTCTACTTATGATTTTCTGATAGTTTGGTGGTGGGATATATACACATATTCAGTAGAAACCACTCTTGTAATTTTGAATTTATATGATTCCCTGGGCTAGCAACATATGGTTGCAATATTCTGTTGTGAGGTGGGGCCATTGGAGCCACAGCTCCCATATGGCCACAGGATCATGAGGCGAAACCAGTACAGTGTATGTATTGCCAAGCCTATTACCTAGGAAGTCCAGGAGGTTAGGTGCATTCTATGCTTCTTTGACTGTTGCTGTTTTCAACTTAACACTGGCTTTATTGGAATGCAACCTCAGCATTAGTCCAGGATCATCGATACATTTAGGTTAGACATTTTCTGTTATGGCTCAGACTGTTGATGTCTTGTTAGGTTTATTTCACTCTATTATCTAGGTTTCATTTTTGATAGTTTCTATAGTTGCATTTTCCCTTATCTTTTTAATTTTTTCTCATTTTTCAGATAAAACAATTAAAACTCAATGAGGTTAGAGTCATAAAGCAAATAATAAGAATTACAGTTCAATGGTTACTTAATGGATGTCGGGCACTGTGTTCCTTTGTCTTTTCATCTCTGTGGTGATTCTATGAGGTGGATTATCTTATTGTGGATCCAATTATCTTATTGTGGATCCAACCCAGGGCTTTGTGCATTCCAGGGAAGAACTCTACTGCTGAGCTACAGCAGTAAAATTCAGAACACAATTCATTCCAGGCCCTAGTTGTATTTTCAAAGTCATGAAAATTTCCTTTGCTCTATACAATCAGTTCTTAAGTCCACATAATGAATTCCTCATTATTATATTTTTCACTTCTAATAGTTTCATTTACCCTTTTTTATTGTTTCCATTTCTCTACTGAAGTTCCCTATTTCTCTGTCCATGTTGTTTAGATATTCTATTAGATTCCACGAGTGTTTTTATTCTAGTTATTTCTACATGGTGATTTTTCACAGGCTGCTTTATTCTAAATATATGGCTTGCATCTGTTCCTTGTCTTTGATAATGGACCATTGTTTTCCTGACTTTGACCTCTGGTGTCCTAAAGAGTTTAGTTTTGAAATATTGTCTAGCTGTTGGCTTCAGCCTGCTCTCTCCAGGGCTGCTAGGTGGTCCCACGCTCTGGGCCTGGGACCTATAATTACTAGCTGAGACTCTTTGTCCAACATTTTAGATGGGTTCCCTGAACCCTCTGTGACCTGTATCCATTGCCTCTGCCCAACACCTGTTTAGACTGATATATTCCCCTGCATGTAGTAAGACAATTATCTTGTAACTGAATTGAAATATACTAATAAATAATATAAGCCTTAGAATAGACGGACTTGGATTTAAATCTTCACACCATCTCTGTAAGCTGTTTGATTTTAGAAACGTTGCTTCACTCTTTCAGGACTCAAATTTTTCACTTGTAGAATAGAAATAAGATAATCCACCTCGTAGAATCATCACAGAGATGAAAGGACAAAGGAACACGGTGCCCAATGTCCATTAAGTAACCATTAAATTATAATTGTTATTATTTGCTTTATGACTCTAACCTCATTGAGTTTTAATTTCTATATCTGAAAAAATGAGAATTATGCCATACAGTAGGAGCTAGTATCATGTACCTTTTGCTATAAAATTGCATAAAAATTTAATGACTAAAATTCAGAACACAATTTATAAATTACCAGTGTTCTTACATAGATCATATTCTCACAGAAACTCTCAAGGTGAGTGTGGTATTCCTCTTCTGTAGCTGAGAAAACTGATACTAGAAGGCATCTGACTGGTGCCCATGTCTCTGTAACCCTGGTCCTGTGCTTTTTCTGCTGCATGATTCTCAATTCTATAGGAGCAGGGCTGGAGGAACTCAACCGTTCCTATTCTTTAGGCCAATATACACAAATGGTCTCATGATTTCTGTTCATTTCCCTTAATGCATTATAAACACCACTGATTTGATGTTTTATGGCCTTCTGGGCAGTGTTTCTGAGCACTGTTCCATGCTGCATTTCATTTCATAATCTCTTGTCTTTATTTCCAAATGTAGCTATTTGTTCAGCCTGGTTTTGCTCTGCGAGGTGTTATTTACAATACCTACTAATTTAATCCTTGTTCAGGGAAAACTGGGGAGCAATTGCTGACTTTCGTGGATCATTAAAAATTCAAGCCTGAAAGAACTCACCTACCACTATGATCCTACTCTGCTTTTTAGCCAGTGACCTGTGTCTATATAGTGCTATGTGTGCATGTGTGTCTGTGGGGGAGGAAGGGGTCTCATTTCCATTTTACACAATAATTTGTGGTGTTTTGATTGCTTTGCAGTTCTTCAAAGATTTCATTCACCACACACCCCTACACAAATGAGCAGATATTACTCACAAACTGTTTATCATACAGCTAATAAAAAACAGTAAAATATTCCCCCATCACAGGTTCTGGATATAAACGCAAATGCCAACAAACTGTGACACTTAAAATTTGAGAATGTGAAAGCTAAAAGAGAAATCACTCAGTATTGCCTCTACTCACAACCATCAAAACTAACATCAAGAGCAAGTCACATGAAAACAGTTGCTGCATGGTGGCATTGGAATCAAAGCCCCAAACCCACCCTCCTTCCATCAAAGCATACCAATATTATGGTTACTCTCCTTCCTGGAGGGATGTCCTGACCAGTGTTGCTCAAGCCAGGAGAATGAACTCAACTTGGATTTGGCAAAATAGAGCAGAAACTTCTTTATTTTTTGGTCAAAGAATAGAGAAGGCAAAGCTCATCCTCTAGATACTGTTATGCTCGAATTTGGGACCCCCAAAAGACCACCAGAGACAAAGATCAACATAAGCAGCAAAGAGGTGTTTATTGCAAGCTAGTTCAGTTCTCTGCATGCACACAGCAACTGGTGACACCGAGAGGCCCTGAGCCCAGGGTTTGCAGCAGTTTTATACACTCTTTGAGGAAGGCAGGGACTTCACATACATGATAGCATCTCTTAGCAAATCATCATACACCACGGGAAAATCATAAAACAACTCTAAAACATGATTAGCACATTCACTGGCAGGAACAAGTTGAGTAAGGGTGATTGGTTAGTACAAGAGGGGGATTCCTTTGAACTGATTGGTTTAAGCCACCGAGGGGAGTAAGTGCTGAATACTTGGTTTCCCAACATGTGATCAACCACCATAAACTACTGGGAGGGTCATCTGGCATCCCAGGTATTTTCCCTGTCTCATGCTGATTGGTGGTTGCTAGGGGGTTGCTATGGGTCCTCACCTAGCCTGACTGAGTCAGGAACACCTTGTTCCACAGATCTCTCCTGTTATTTGTAGATAAACAACTCAGCAGGGTGAGTATGTGCCTAGGAGTGCTCTGTGGGTCTTTCCAAGGACAAGGGTCACGCCCCCTTCCTTGGGCAGGCTTTGCTCTGAGGTAGAGGCTGGTTTAGAGGCTGGTTTTCCAGTACCTTCTCCCTGAGGGACATCAAGAATGGTTCCTTTGATGGGGAAGGAAACAGATTTCATGGGTCAAGGCAGGAAAAGGAGAAGTATGGGAATAGCTTTTGCACTTAGCACTTTTTGCGCACACCACCCCATTGCCATCTTGATTTTTCTGGTTTGGCCTGGTGTTGCAGTTTGGCTGCTATCTGGTCTTCTGTCTTGGTTCCTGTTGAGCAAACATAGCTAGAAGAAGAGTTGGTCATCATGGTTGAAACCAAGAAGGAGAATTACTAGGAACCTTTCAGGTTACAGTTACTACTATCTTTCAGGTTACAGTTACACTGAATAAGTATCAGGCAATCTACTAACTACCTTTGTGAATTAAATCAGTGGATTATTAGGTTAAGTCTATGGCTTGTGACTATAGGCAAGTCCCCATTCTCTCTGCTTTTTGTGCTTTTCCTAGGCCAGTAGGAATACCTGACCTGACCTTCTTTAGAGATTGCTAAATTGCACAAGGCAATTCAGTGGCTTTTGAGTCTTCATGTAGACTATTAAATGTTATTTTCTCTTTTAAAAAAGATCACCAGTAACTGACAAGCTAATTTAATGTATGTTGTACACTTTATGTTTTCTAGTCTTCACAATTTTGATCCTGTGAGATTTTCTATCTGGAATAGTCTTTCCCTTTCACAACAAGATGTCTGTAAATCAACACACCAGCTTCTATTGAAGATCTTCTGATTTCCCAAACAAGGTAATTTCTTTCTTCTCTGAACATTCACAGCCTTTTAATCTTTGCTATGGCAATTATACTATCTGTGTCCCTCTCTCATTTGTTCTTGTAGTTTATGAGACCCGGAGACCAGAACTTCGACTATGTTTATATTGGTTTTTTTTCTCTGTAGAATAGAAAACAGTACAATTTGGCTTTTAATAAATGCTTGAAAGACATTGCTGAATGAATTTGGGGGGCTACTGGTCTTGAGATAAAATACAGTGGCCAATGGAGCTCATTCTAAATTTGTTCAAGTTCCATCCTTTGGAGGTTGCCTCAGGGTCTTAGGGAGTATTTGTCTTTGGAATATAGCTTCCCTTTGTCCTAGAAAGGACCACATTAGGGAGTCATTTCAGTCATGCAAATGCATGGGAAACCTGCTTGGAACTGAGAAGTGTTTTCATTAGTCATGCAAATTGAGTTTATTATCAAGATGGTGCCCCTGCAGAGTCAAGTAAATTTAGTGTGTGTGTGAGTGTGTGTGTGTGTGTGTGTGTGTCTGCCTGTGCCTGCTACAGCAACTAAATGTAAGGTGCAACACGTGCTGTGTTTTTTTTTATTTCCTAAATGTGGATTTAGAGTGCCTTTGTTTCTACAACACATTGAACACATTGCTTCTTCTTGTGAAGCATGTCTTCTCTATCCAAAAATGAACCAGGGTAGTTATGGGGCTGAACTTTAGAAGATGACAGAAGAAAGTGTATACATCTTTGCTTGGCACTGTGAAGTACCGTAAGGGATCAGATCTCAGTGCTGTCCTTACCATGGCTTGTTCTATAAACATGCCGTGGTACTTGCTGCTTAGAATAAGAGATGGATTATTGCTAGTTGTGCATTAAAGGGAAGTACTTGGATTGCAAGTAAGAGGGAGGTATGTGTGTTGAAGAAAGTATTATTAAGAAAACAAACATGGCTTTATCTGAGAATAAGGAAGAGAGAAAGTCAAGTCCTTAATAAGGAAAAGCCAGGGAGCAAGGTTCAGAAGATTTATAAAATATCTAAATTCATCTTCCAAATAAATATTTTTATTTGGATAATCTCTCTTCTAAATGTGAAAATAGCCTCTGGCAACTTGGAAACTAGCAGGAGAGAATGACTTTCAAATGGGAATCAGGGATTGTGGCTGAGTTTCTCTCTTGGTCCAGGATTGGACAGAGGAGACAGTACAGAGAGCAAATTTCCAGTAAATCTGTGGCTCCCAGCTTGCTGATGAAGCCATTCATTGCATGTAGATATTTGCATTTGCAACTGTGAACTTATTTTCTGGCATTGTGACTAAAATGTATTTCAAGGATCCCTCAGTAGAGCTAAAATGAAAGGCAAAGTAAGTGAAACCCTAAATTTCATAAATATATATGAAATACACACACACACACACACACACACACACACACACACACACACACTTTATGGAAAATGAAACAACAAAAAACTCCAAGACCACCACCAAGGGAAAAATCAAACCTACCAAAAGGATCACTATCTTGCAAGAGAAAGAAGTTTTTCGTATTCAGGGCTAGAATGTCTGTGCTATATAATATTCACATTTATCATCCATTCAGCTTTTGTTAAGATCTTTCAACTTAATCTAGTATTTCAATACATTTCTTTTTTTAAAAAAAATCATATCATATTGTGTTCTTAGGATCATGGAATCATCTTTGAACAAGTATTATCTGTCAAGGAGAAAAACATCAAATTGGAGTAGCATTGGTTTGGTGCTCTTAAAGTGGAATAGGGAGACCACTGTTAATCAGATCTCAGGCACATTGGCAGCTGGCCTTTGGATTGCACTGTAGATACCCCACCACTACCACCATTTAAATCACAGTATGGGTAACATAGTCAGCCTCTGCTGACCTTATGGACCAGGGTCCCTCCTCCCAAACTACCTAGAGATTGAGACCACACCCAATCCCTTTCTTATAAAACAGTTGACTTGTTACCACACTAATCATCTTTCCTACTAAGTGATGCAATCTCTAGTCCCCACTCTCTGTGGTTTAAAGCATTTTCAAGATCGCTAGGGTAGGTGTCCTTCCAGAAAGCAACTCAAATGAGTCACAGATAAATGTAATTTTCTTTTCCTTGATTTTATTCTAGCTCCCACTACTTTGTGGAACATTTTATATTCTTTGTTGTTTGTTTGTTTGTTTTGTTTTGTTTAAACTCCCTAAAAATCCTGTGAGGTTGGTGGTGTTCGTATCATTTTATGATGGAGCCAACTGAAGCTGGATGGGGTCTGGCAACAGATGCAAGGAGAGTTCCTAAGTGGCTAGGGTTGTCCTGGAGCCAAGTCCTCAGACTTCCCGGCAGTGTACATCCTGAACCAGCAAAGGGCACACTCCTCCACCCCTCTGTAAGAACACTTCAAACCTCAACCCTAATTCTAAGACATTTTGGAGAGCAAGACTAATGTAGCACTAAAGGATTTTCTACCATCAACCCAAACTTCGTTTCACATCCCTCCATCTTTCTCGAGGTGATAATGAGTAGTTTTGAGGGAGACGGAAGGGCTTAGACAAGCCAGGGCAAGATGGTGTGTGGGGAGGTGGGGGACAGGGCCAGCACAAAGGAGCATGGAGAGGGTCATCTGATGAGGTCCACGTCCTGGCTGACATCAGTGCTGGGGGACACAAGCAGGGGACTCAATCAGATAGACACTTGGCACTCATGCTCCTATGTAGGGGATCCAATAGAAAAACTAAAACAGAAGCATGAACAGAGAGGGTGTCAGTCAATAATAGTGAGGAGCCAGTGGACAGAGGAGGAGATAAGGAGAAAATTCTAGAGACTATAAAAAGAAGAGGCCAAAACTCCTCCACCAGATTCCCAGCTCTGGGGACCTCTTTTCTTCAGTGCAGGTCTCTGTCCCTTTTGCAATTAACCTGCTGCTTGCTTCCTATCTCTGTGTGTCCTGTTCTTCAAGTTTTTTTGTTTGTTTGTTTGTTGTTGTTTTTTTTTGCTGAACAGAGCCAAGAATCCAGCACCCCTAGACAGAAACAGTTTGATTTTTAAAATTATTCATGGTTTTGACGTTTTTTTGAGAAATTCGCATTTCATGTAAACACATCTTGAAGGAGGATGACTTTTATATGACAAGAACTAAGACATTAAAACATTGAAGTCTCAGGAGTTCAGAATCATGTAAAAAATGCAACCCATGTGTTTGAGAACATCCAAATATGATACCAGTGTTTTCCTTTGTACTCAGATGCCATAGTTGTTATTTTGTAGACAATATTATGTTTCAATTTTTTTTTTGAAGATCAATTTTGAGAAATCTCATATTGTTTGAGATAAATAACACTCGAATGAGTCAAAGGCCCACATTATTTACCTTCAGTATAAAGAAAAATATATAATTTCTTGTTTTCTACTAAGGTTTATAAAAGTATGACCTTTTCTTCAACATCAACTTTGTAATATTTACTGATAAAAATAAAATTATAATAAAATAATAATGATACTAGTAATGAACAATCTTCAAAGGCTTATATTAAGCTTTACAAAAAAATGACTTAGATGCATTATTTAATTTCATCTTTTTTAGAATCCCCAAGAGATAGGGGCTTTTAGAATCATTTTACAGTTAGGCTGAATTCACTCAGCTTTTAAGTGACAGTTCTGGGAATTTTTACAGTTAGACCGATTTCACTCAGTGTGTGACAGTTCCAGGAATTTTCTTCTCAAGAGCCCAAGATCTTAACCATTAATTATATGGTCTTCTACAGAGAAAGGAAAAACACTATGAAAAGATTGTGAGTTATACCTTGTGATTTAGGCTACCATTTTGGGATTAAATTGTACATTTTTTTCTCACCATCTTATTTGTATATTGTAGCCAATGCCATGTGTCTTAAACATGTTTATCAAGATTCAGTTTTCAAAATATTTGCCTTTCATTTTTGCTTTATGCTATAGTGTGATTTTATTAGCTTTTTCATTGCTGTGACACACATACACACAAAAAACCTGACAAGAACTATTAGAGGAGGAGATATCTATTTGGGGGCTCATGGTTTCAGAGGTCTCAGTCCATAGACAGCCAAGGACATTTCTCAGGGTCTGAGATGAGACAGAATACCATGGTGAAAGGAGATAGAGGAGGAGAACAGCTCAGAACATGACAATAGCAAGCAGAGAGATTTCTGGGCTCACCAAAGGGAAGATATATATACATTCCCAATGCATGCTGCCAATCACCCACCTATTCTAGCTACATTCGACCTGTCTATAGTGACCACCCAGTTAATCAGCTTAACTGGATTAAGGTTCTGATTAGATTGAGACTCTCATAAACTGATCATTTTACCTCTAAACTTTCTTACATTGTCTCACACATGAGCTTTGGTGGATACCCAATAAACCATAACATTGATCAAAGAGAATGCCTTTTTACATTAGCAGACCTTAATATATGCATCTTATCTCTAACTTTGCATGGATTATACTAATAGTTAGTAGGGAAATAATAATGCTCTGTGCTCTTCTCTGTGATGGATGCTTTGCAAACAGTAATTTCTATTATCACAGACTCCTACCACGAAGCTATTCCTGGCCCTATTTTAAAGATGATGTTTAGTAGTTTGTAGAAAAACCCAGAACTAGTGAGTGGTAGAACTGAAGTAGAATTTAATACAGCTCTCAGATCCAAGTCTGGTCTCTTGAACAATGACCCTGGGACAGAAGGGTCAGCATCTTCCCTCCCTCCAGGAGGGAGAAATCAGAGAGAGAAATCAGAGTGCTGAGATCTTTCTGGACAGTTGTCCTTACAGTCTAGCAATTCACAGTTTTCCCAATTGTCAGACTCTTTTTGGATGCAATCAAAGCTGTTAGGGGGCAAAAGCTTCAGGCTGCCTCCTCTCTGCTGCTGATTATAGAGTTCCAAACTCCTGGGCTATCTTCATCCATGGCTCTGTGCTTCCTGGTCAGACACACCAGGCCCATGGGCAGCCTGCCAGCCAGCTTCTGCTGCT